TGCTAAACAACAATAAAGCAACTACAGCGTCAATTGGGCTCATGGTCAATGAAAATAAAACGAAAATATTTTCATCTTATATGCTATACGCATAAAACGCCTCTTTTTATAAATTCATCTCCTATTGAGGAAGCGCCCGATTTTAAATACCTTGTGTCCACTCTAACAGCAAATGGCTAGACAAAAGACGATATTTAATGCTGGTGTCATATGAATCCTTTCCCAATAAGCCACCGATGTATCTCTATTAGGTAATCAAACTGTTTAATCGAACCGATTATTGATCACTAACAAATATTGATAAGGCAAACTGGTAGTTCGTATCGCATTCATATAGCAAGATCAAGCGAATTGCAACTGCATAGACTTGGGTTCTTGTAAAAGTTTCGTCAACCAAAAGAACGCCGTTGTCCTCATTCGTCTTTTTCCTGGTCATTCGTTGTTAAAATAGATCCAAAACATTTAAAATTGGACTTCCTCAACCAGCAATATATTTATAAAAATAGGGCAATTTATTAGCTTCTCATATATAAGAAGTACGATTCTCGCTGCAGTTGCTGATACTTTTTTAATATTGTTTGCATTTCCTTATAACTGTTAGCAAAAAAGACTGATTAGCGTATTTAAGTTCTGTGATACAATACTCCGTATTTGAGTGCCGACAAGCGATGTCCATTTTTTAGTCCATCGCACAGTTGAATATTATAGAGGAAAGGAAGCAGCCTTGACAGACCAGTTTTTATTGGAAACATATGGTCCGACGAACGTTATATTCGGGTCAACAGATAGCACATAATGGTTAAATTTGGTCTCAAATTGCCCTCTCCTCCCCCTCCTTTCCCCTCCTCCTCTCCTCCCACTCCATGAATTCCTTCTTACGAGGCAATCTTTAATCTTAACAGGCATACCATTGCTATTCTATACCATTTCACTGATCCCCGAATTATAGATGTTTTATGAAGAAGGCGGAATAGTTTCCTAATATCGCCTAATCGAGCCGCCGTTTCCATCCTCAGACCCATATTGCTCCAATAACGATTTCCGTCCCACCCGTGCTATAGTAATTTTTCGAAGCATCCTGTAGTCAGGATCTCCTGACATTCGTTTTGTCTTTTCAGATAATCCTCCGATTCTCTCCCTGCCAGCATATCCTAGTGCAGAAATGGCTGATTTTCGGAGACATTCCTTTATTTGGTTTGTTGGTTTGATCTATCTTTAAATTTCGGATAGTGCAGGAGATTTATCTATATTTCTATTTCCAAATGGCTTTCTTACAAAAGGATATCAATCAGTGAAGCAAGTCAAATCAGAAATGGTGAGAAATGGTGAGTATATATTGTTTATATGATATAGATGAAACTCAATAAGAATTTAAACAATTTTGCTTCTGGAAAAGACGATTTTACGCTTTCTTCCTTATGTTCATGTTTTTTAATCTGAAATTCAGCTTATAGCTATTTCTACTCGATGTTTTACGCGAAGTTATGGCTAGTAATTATATTGTTTGAAAGTTTATTCTATATATTACTGTATGATTATCTTTATATATATATATATATATTATTTCAAAGAAAAATTAAGGGAAATAATTTTTCTTCAATATATAATAATTCTCTTAAAATATTTTTAACCAAATTTAAAAAAGTTTACCAAGTATTTCTCGAAAGAACAGAAAAATTTTTTTAAAAATTAAGCGTTTGTTGAAGGAAAAAAATTTTTTTTAGAAAGTGAAATAAAATAGTTTGCAATCCACCAAAATTTCAGATAGCTGTTCTTTCATTTAATATAAAAATGTGATTAACGCCATTCTAATGATTTTATCTTTTGATATGACGGTAGAAGCGCAGGTGGTTCGTGCACAGTGCGTTTTTATATGGGAGATGGGATGTGAAGTACCGAATCTCATGACAATTTGAGCCAAACATTAAGCTAACTTCCTAAAGATAGGGAATATTTTGAGGTTTTTCTAATAATGTATGAAAATATCACAATGTAATAATTCTTTGAAGTAATTAAACCGGCAACAATATGAATTTCCGATGAATTTTATAGAATTACAATTAAGAGAATACTACTACAACATTACTTGCTATAGTTTCGATTTTTTGAAAATGGCATTGTTTCCAAAATAAACCTCTTGATTAATTTTCAATTTTACAGACTTTATTAAATATATTTAATAATTTATAAAATTTATTGCGATAATTGAGAATTAGAAAACTGAAGTGAAAATGGATTTTTTTCTTGGCACCGTACAAAATCAAGAAATTTTTGAGAAAATTTTTCGAGAAACCTAGTGCAGTCAGTATCTCATCTAAAGTTCATTTAAGGAGCTCTTTTTCATATTTTTAGATATCTTTTCATTTTTAACCTAAATGAAATAATAGAGCCATTGCATTCTTATCAATGGCAAGTAAGCATTCAGTACTCGTTAGTACGCTTGTTCCACTGGCTGCTACGGTTAGATTTGGAGGAATCATTTGGCGATAGAACAACAGAAAGATCGCCATCATGAACCCTTACCTCTAATCTGAGTTATTTTCCATTCATTTGTTCTGCTTCGATTTCGGCCCTCTTTCTACATATATATATATATATATATATATATAAAAGAGGTTTCCTATATATATAAATATATATATAAATATATATAGGAAATGTGAAAATGAATTGATTTTTTCTATTTTAATCGTCGAATATTCGGTAAATACTTCAGAAAAATTCAAATGGACTAAAAATATCCACAAATCCTTGTTCATCTTTCCTTTATTCCTTCGTTATTTCCTTCTATCAATTAATAGTATGAGCCATTTTCAATCTCGGATGGTGTATGGAAGGTTAAAGGCTCTACGCATTACACTGTTCTTAGCTGTGCGCTTTTCTGGACTGAATTGCTTGAACTGTTTCCTTGAATCTGTTGAGGCCACTTTTCCAGTTTAGAGGCCCCTTTGTATTGTGCACCGCTGGAATTATTTTGGCTTTAAATTTCCACATCTTCTATAGTCTCTTGGTATTTTTCTAGTTTCTTCCCGATGTTCCTTTTATCAATTGGAGATTGTTCAAATACCACCAAAGAATAAGATAAAGAATCCTGAAGAACCAAATCATTGGGAAAAATCGATGCCATAAATATTTACTTTCTACCAGTCATTAGATATGCAGCTGGCATAATGAAATGGATAAAGGAAGACATTGACAAAGTGATGGGAAGACCCGAAAATTCTCATAATGCATGGAAATTTCCACCTTAAGCCTTCAACATTCAAAGATTATATCAGTCGGAAAAAAAAGCGTGTGGGACTTGATGAGCCACCGTCCTAAAAAAAATATGGAGCTTTCAAGAATATATCAGTAAATTGCATTGCATTAGCAAGAAGGCATCAAAGGATTAGCTACTAAGAGAATAATGAATAAACCATCAACCAGACAGAAAAAAATCAAGCATAGAAATATCTAAGGTAAGCAAGGGCCTTCATGGGATATACCATCGACAGATAGCTAAAGTAATTAGAAAAATTCTGTGAGTGGTTGGAGAAAGATAGATGGAAAGACAGCACTGAATTAATCATAATAGGTAGCAAATCCATCGAACAGGGATCCACTGTGAGCGAGGACTCAAGGTGCAGATAGGGCAAAGAAATCTCAGAAAACATCCAATATAAAATGTGGTAGCATGCAAGATACAGGAACGAACAGAATAGAATGAAATGCGTAAGCAAGTAGCTAGAATTATCTACATGAACATCTGTATAACATATGATCTTCTGGAGGGTAAGAGATCCTTCAGAAAATTATGGAGAATCATAATACGGTTAAGATATGGGACTTCTCCTTATAAACGGCGAAATAAGCACTAAACCAAAATTTAGCACTGGCGATATACCAAGTAATAGGAACATCAAGAAATAAGAATTTGAGAAACTAGAGAAATACCAGGAAAATTTTGCAAGGAACAAAAGTAGCTTTACTGGTGGTAGGATCACTAAAGGTTGCGATGGCTTCAACAGATTCCAAGAGCAACATCAGATATTTCTATCCAGAATAGCGCCCTGCTAGTTAAGACACTCGCAACACCTCAAGCTGATGATCCATATCACCCACAGAAGGTGTAAAAGGAACTTTCTTTGCAAGTGTATTTCTTTAATGGAAGGTGCTTTTCTTTCTGGCCCACAGATTCTTCCAGCAACGATAGTCTCGACTTCCTTATTTCACATATTCGATCTAAGTGTTTTGGTTTATCGCCTTAAAATTTGAAATACAAAATAGCTGCATTATTCCAAAAAGTTATTAGCACGATTGTTTGAAAAATTATCGTACCATGTTGGGTGAAAGATGCGATCGGCATTCGAAGAGGTTGCAGCGGAATAGGAGAGGGGAGGTCCTTTAAATGTTTAGTGCGGCGTGTGGTCTTTCTGGCAGGGATCCTCTTTATTATTTTACAGTGGATCTTCTTTCATATTTTCCGACTCTTCCTGTTCGAATCTATTTTTCCCTTTTATTTTGTTCACCTTTAAAAATTAGAAGAAATTCGGCAATTTTGCAGGCTTATATTTTCAGGTTAAATCATTCCTTTTCTTCAGCAGCTTGCATAATTGCTGACTGTGCAGGCTTAAGCTTTTCCAAGCCTCATTATTCGATGCCATATCTGCAGGATAACAAAAACCACTCCTATTTCCATGCTCTCTACATTCAAAACCTTTCCTGGCTGTATCAGTCCGGATCTTATCTGTTTTCCCGTTTTTCCGCCATTCACTATATAGTCTAGTCTAGCGAATGGTGATGCATCAATTCTTCTGTTAGGCGGCGAACCTAGCTAACGTGAAGTTAAACTGGATTAAGTTTTTAGTTTTCGGTTTTTTTTGATTATTTGACGAGACAAAAAAAATTTCTCCTTTTTATCTTGAGTCGATTTTATTGATTTTAGATTTCTTAAAGGTGTTGTCACTTTATATTTATTCAAAAAATGCTTCCGTTTGTATACAGCGGTGGTGCCGACAACGATGATAGTTCGAATGATGGACGGTTCGTCTTCGTTTAATTTGATTTTATCGTTTTTGGGTATTTGAAATGGAATGTACGAGGGTTAAAATAGAAAAATTTAGATCTTACCAGTGGGTTATGGCAACCACTTGTTTTTTATTATATTATTTTTTATTATATCATTTTTTATATTTTTTTGCATTTTATTTCCATTTCCCTCCCATTTCATTTTAATTATACGTATATTATTTGAAACTTTTACTTTCAAGGAGAATATAAAGTTCTTTCCATTTTAAAGTTCCAATGAATTCTGTTTGATTTAATTATTTATCAATAATCAGTTGAATATCAATATTCACAAAGATGTTATTATATCAATATTAATATTTGGTGGTGAATTACCATGATAAATATCTCTATATATCCATTTCATTTTAAATATCTCTATCCATTTTTCCATTTTTCCAAATATCCATTTTTTAAATATCTCTAAGTTGGAAAAAAAACATTTTACAATTACCCGATGTAATTAAGATATAGAGATTTTATCTCATTAAAATAATGTTTCAGCCGATACACTAAGAGATATTCAAGGTCGCGTTCGAGATCAAGGACGAGGTCAAGATCACATTCGAGAGGCAGGTCGAGAACAAGATCAAGAAGTCCACGTCGAGATAGACATTGTACTTCTAAATCGTTTTTTTTCTCAAAAAATTCATATTATCCCCTATATATCCTTCATCATATATTTATTTATAATGGATACTTGAACATTTATATAGATGCTTGTACATTTAAAAATTATTGCTGGCATCTATAAATGATAATTACAAATTACAGCTTAAGCTTATAAATTACAAATGCTCAAGACCTTTCTTGCCCAGAACCGCTTTCAAATTTGGGTATATATGTAAACTTTTTAAAATCCTTCTAGTATTACTATATTTATCTCCACTAAGACTCCGTTCTCTCTTAATGTCATCCTCTCCATCTTCTTGCAGTCTCGAAATTTTTTCCATTATTGTCGTATTAGCCTTTATAATTTTATAGCTTGTAGTTGTTCAGCGACGAAATTGCATGATTATAGGCATTGAAGGAATATGAATATAGAATTATTAAGGATTGGATTCGAAAGGGATCGGAGTAAAAGATGTTTAAAAATGACGATTGTATTATCGATGACGCAATGAGCATAATTTGGTATTGACGATATTAAGAGTGTATTTAAGGGAGTCTGAGATTTCCCGCAGAATATGATCTTGAGGTTTACGAAAGGGCAATGACAGTTGAGACTCCATACAAATGCATATATACATACACTCCATGCCAAGTATTTCACTATAGTAGATATATATATATATATATTAATAATCAAAAAAAATAAAAATAAGAGTTATACAAAAAAGTTATAAATAAATGGTGTAATCAATAAAAAAATTAATTGGCAGTATAAAATCTTTTTTAATAGCATTCACCATTACTGTTTAGACTTGCTTCACTATTAGACTTGTCCTAATAGACGAATATGCCCTTGGTGATAGAAATACAGGTGTATCACCAGCATCACTTGGATTTTTACAGGTTTACTCCTTCAGGGGAGCCTCAGCATTGGTACTCTGAACTGAGCAACCTACTGAACCATATTACTCTCCCTTAATAATATAAATTGCAAAAATTCTCATAATTTTCTGAGTTTTTTTTTTCATTAGTCAAAAACTGCTAGTCAAAATTGAGGTGTTGATTAAGTCGTCTCGGTTAGTAGGGGCATCTTCCAGGATCGTGCGTGTTAGAATGAGTGAGCTTAACTGATTTTGATGTAATTCTCCAATGCAGATTACGGGCGTTGGTCAAGGTCGAGTTCATCTGGAAGAGGTCCTGGTAGTCGATCTCCACGTCGTCATCGAGATCATTCGCCTCTTGACTCAGCTGAAAGGCAATATCGCGTTAGTTAAAGTTTTGTATAGTTCGAGCTTTTTTATTTAAATTATCAAGTTATCAAGATATTTCTCGTATTTTTTCATTTTTAAATTTTTGTTTTTCGAGCTAAAATTTTTTTCTGGAACAGAATTGGTTTTCTTAATTTACTTTATATTGATGAAAATTTAAGTCTATTCTTTGATATTTGTTTAAGGAGTCTGGGGAATTTTCGAGCGCAATTCCTTATTTGCAGTCTCGAAGTATGCCGAGTAGTCGGTATTCTCCACCAAGTATCGTCTATGGGCAGCCACATTACAAGATAGTAATGAAAATGTTGCCACAAGGAGTACAACGCGATGCAGTTAGTCTTTTTATTCTTCACAGCAAATTGTAAAAATATTTATAGGACAGAAATAAGACTTATAGAACATAAGAACATCAAATATTCAAAATTTCAAAGATTTCATCATTGATCAAAGATTTGCAAAAAATGATGCTATTATTATCACTGTTATTATCAAAATTAACAAGTTATAAAAACTTTTCTCGTACTTTTTAATTTTTGATTACGTAGAATAAAAATCTGATTCCAGTTAATGGCCCAAATTGCCCGTCAGGGATTCCATGTGAAAGATATTCGAATTATCCATAAAAGTAATGTTTTTTGTCCTTTTTTTCGTTTTCTAAAATAATTATATTTTGCTGAAATAAGCGTTCTTTTTATTATCTGTGGCAAAAAAAAAGCGATCATTCCTCTTGGTCAGAAGAAGCTATGGAAAATTTTAACGATTAAATCACTTCAAATAATTATAAAATTTTTCGCTAGAGATTTCCTGTTTTCACTATTATTTCATCTGAAAAGAGTGTAATTTTTATTGATAAATTATCAAAGAAATGGAAAAATCATGTAGTTAACGTTGTTTTGGATGGCCTGTTGCCTCATTGATTATGAATTGTTTGATAAAATAATTTGAAAACAATTTTGAAAGCGTTCTGCGAGTTTATTTTTTGGCACAGGTGTTTTATTAGGCCCTTTTTTTTATTTTAATTTTTCTGATACCATATATGCCATTTCGTTTTCATCATTAATCTATAATTCATTATATAATGTTCTTGAAAGCTTTTTAAATAATTCCATATGATCTCATGGGACTACTTGTATATTTGGCCAATATTGGTAAGATTTTTTAAAATTTATCAGTAATGCATATGATTTTGGATTGCCATATTTCATATCTGTAAACGCCATTGTAAATCTTCTTCTTTAGAGGATGAACCCCAACATTTAATGAATTGATTACGGTGTTGGTTCTATAAACAATTGTAATTGACAACAATTCGTGTTAGAGAAGGACAGAAGTTAATGGCTAATAACGTTTTGTTAAATGTAACAAAAAATAAACTACAGGTCCAGATCGTTGCTTTGGATTCGTGGAATTTGCTGATGTGAGTAGCGCACAAGCATGGATGGAATTCAATAAGGTGCAATCAGTGTAAATTCTCAATTGCACATTTAAGAAAAAAATTGAGCTTGTCTCTCGTCAGATTTTTTAAATTATATTATAGCGACGAAAAACCATCGTAGATATTCGAATGTGTCCGTTGTTGCTTTTATCAGTTTTAAATTCTACTTTTCAAATTTAATAAAAATTAGAGAGACAACGACATTCATTGTCGGTTGAAGACCATCAGTTCTCCAGTTTAGTGGAAGGGTTTATCTTGCGCAGAGGTAGTATTTCACTGTTCATCATTTTTATGAAATGGCTGATGATGATTAAATGCATTGTTTGGGTTAATTATGTTTTTGCAACCAAATATATTTATCACGCACCATTGATATGTTTTTTTTTTTTTCTTAATCATCGGAGGTATTGGAGCTAGGATTATAAAATGGAATAATCAAAAGAATGTTAAATTCGAAATTTTTTTAAAATTTTTTTAAATTTTTTATTGGTTTAGCCAATTCATTTTATTGTATCTTGCAAAATAAAGCGGTTTTTTCGCGTTTCAGGATGTCGGCCAGGGCTTTTCCTTCGCAGATATTAATGTGAATTCGTATTTCAGGGTACTCTTGTTTTACGTGATGGTCGTCAGATTAAGCTGGAATATTCACGTTATGATAGTCTTGATGGCAGATCTAATAGTGCTGGAGGGGCAGGGGATTGGATGTGTGCAAAGGTAAGCAGGCCTTGTGATTGTGATATCTTAAGAATATTAAGTTTAAAACTTTCTCTTTTTATATTTTTTCCTTCTATTTTTTTGGAATTTTATTCTTTTTTACGTTTTACTTTTTAGTGTACCATTAAGAATTTCAAGAATCGAGGATCTTGTTTTAAATGCAATTTGACTAGGAATGAATCTGACGGCTTAACACGTAAAGGATATGCTGCAATTGGTGTTGCCAAATGTGATAGTAAATTTTTTTATGTTCAGATTTAAACAAATTTTCTTTTTTGGAATTCTTTGGATTGGTAATGGAAGCATTAAAATGGATAAAAGGAATTAAAATATATAAATTAATAGATATGCTTATTATTAATAACTACTTGTTATTTTATTGTATTATTGTATTATTGTGATTTTTTAGCATTATTGCTTCGTGAAATACCTCTCAAATGTACTGAGAGCAAAATTGAAGCTGAACTTGGTAGAGTTTCGTCACTAGAAGTTCTTCGTGTTCATATCGCTGAATCAGGAATGTATGCTTATGTACAGATGCGTAGCGCTGATGATGCAGAGCGTCTTATGCTGACTTTTAATAAAATTCCACTACTCATTGATGGATGCACTAGTATGGCTGCTGTTTTTGAGTTTTTTTTGAGATTTTTAAATTTCAGATTTTTTAAAATTTATATTCTTGTGTGGAAATTATCCGACCTTCTCTAGAGTTTTACATATAACTATATCCAGTTATGGTTACATACTCGCGACTTCCACTGAATACAGTTTTATCGACAAGTTTGTTGAATGATTCTTATCAGAAAGCAAGTGATCGTATTAATCAGCTTTCTGCATTTCGGCCTACAGCTGGATCTTGTAATTTTCTTCTTTACAGTTTTTTATATCTGTTAAACCACTGAATTTTGTTAGGATTATTAATGGCAGTGTTTGGTTATGAAACGCAGTAAGTGTATGGAAAATGATTTTTTTTGCAGCTGGTCAATGTGGTGTGGAAGCTGCTCAGTTAGCCATTGCAAAAGCTGCTCTTATCAGACAAATTACAAATTCTATGACACCTGCTGATGTAATTTAATAAATGATTTTTTAAAAACTTCGAATATATTTTTCTTGCTTAAATTCTATATTATAATTCCAATTTTTCAGGCGTATCAAGTCCCGCATCTTAGTACGGTATTAGCAGCTACACAGGAAGCTAATTTTGTGGTCACAGACCATTTCAGAGATGAGTTATCGTCACAGAATTTCGTTTGTGTAGATGACATTACTGATCCGGTATTCTTTTTTTAATTTATTTTCCTTAATTATAGAATTTTCGATAATTTTATCCAGCACTGATTTACGAAATTGGCGAAATCGTGCTAATTCTAGTTTTCTTAGAATCATTTTGACATTTGACATTTTTAGAATTCAACACATAATACTTCATCTACTGTACAAGGGCCAACGGAACTTGGTGAAGTGGAGACACCTTGGGGAATTTTTAAAAAATATCGTATGTTTCTTTAAATTCTTTAATATTTTTGAATTATTATTGGTTGCAATTCCGCAAGGAATTTTTTACATTAATTCATTTTTAAAATTTTATGATATTTTCAGCAACACCAAACCCAACGCTTTATCAGTTTGAATCGTCCTCTGGATTGTATTATGACCCAGCCACTAAACTTTATTATGACAGTAATTCTCAATATTATTGGAATGCTGGCAGTCAGCAGTGGAATAGCTGGAACGCTACCTACCAAACATACATTCCTTGTGATTCTATTAATAATAACTTATCGTCAGTTAAAGGTTTTTTTAATTGAGTGATAAAAATGAACTTAAAGTTATTTTTGATAATGAACATTAAAAAATTTGTTTTGACAGCAGAACCGATGACTGTGCAAGATAAAGAGGTTGGTACACAAATAAACGACAAAATGCCATCGATTGAACAAGAAAAGGCAAAGGAAGCAGAAAAAAAAGAAGTAAGACAATTATAAAATTAAAAATTTTTTTTTCTATTATCAAAGTACAACTGGATTCATTTCTGATGTAGAATTCTTGATTCCAAAGTTGATATTTCTTTACTGGAGCGTTCCTTGCTTTAATAATTTTTATATATTGCAGCCACAGAAGTCTGCAAAAGACATAGCACGTGAGATGGCTAAGTGGGCGAAGCGTCAAAGTAAAGTCCTACTTGCTGTTAAGGCACCTGCAAAATTAGAAAATGTTTCACCATTAGTCAGTGGCTCTTCTAAGCCTAAATCTTTAGATGCGATTGAATCGACTGCGGATCTCACCTTTAAAATGTTGGAGAAAGCGAGCGTATGATTTTAGAGCTCTTTCATAAAGTTTCTATTTTTCATCAAATGCACCTATAATTTTTACCTATAATTTTTTAGTTGTTTCTTTTCAATGAATTCGTCGAATTTCATTGAAATTATTCATTGCATTGAATTATATTTTCAGAATCCTTTCGGTTCCGGTAGCGATGAGGAAGAAGAAGAGGCGAATATACCTCCTAAAGTTTCTACTGTTGGAATTTATCGGTCTGCTTTGAATAGTATTTCAGTTCATGCAATAAAAAGCAATGTCGTTTCTTCTTCAGTCACTGAAGAGTCAATTGATATTAAAAAGTAGGGGTTCAATATTGACAATGCAAAATAAAAAAAGAATTTTTTATTATTAAACAATCTAAATAAATTAACACTTATCATCACTAAATTTGCAATTTTCAGAACAAATAATGAAGAATCAGAAAGTTTTGTTGATACAGAGAGGAAATTTTGCAATTTGTGCAAACGCAAATTCGGTAGCGTTGAAGTTTTAATGAAACATATACGAATGTCCGATTTGCACAAGGTACTTAATTTTTTATTCGAATTTCCTGGTCGTATAATACCAAGTAACCTAATTTTTATAATTGGGTTTTATTTTGTTTTATTTTTTTAATTTCCGGGTTTTCAGAAGTGATTTTCAGAAGTGATTAAAATAATGTTATAAGAAAACTTGCAATATAGTTTATAATAAGTACATTTTGCAGAAAAATTTGGAAGCTTTACAGAAAGCTAATGATGTTTCATTAATTGATACTGCGACAACATCGTTTAGTACCGGTCAAGGTAAGCAACAATACAGAGATAGAGCGAAAGAACGTCGTAATATGTTCGGATTGGATCCAAGTGGTATTATTTTTTTTCGTTTTCCAATTACATTTTTATAGAATTTCAGCTGGAACAAAAAATATTTTCATTTTTAGGTTTCACTTTTGAATCTTCGGACGCGGACATAATTGATTACGCTGTGCGTTCACAAGACGTACCTATTGATCAAAGTAATATAGGTAATCGCTTATTGAAATCAATGGGATGGATTGAAGGATCTGGGATAGGAAAGAATAATCAAGGTTTGTTTTTCTTATTAATCTTTCATTTTTTTAAATAATTGGAAGTTTAGAAAAGTATGAAATGGTTGAAACATTGTTTAAAGGATATCTGTTTAAAATTTGGAGTATTTCCGAGTTGTTTCTTCTTACTTCTTTTAAGCTACCATGATATATTTTTGAAAATTCGTGAGTTAGATCATCTTATTTGTCATTAATTTTTTTTTGAGATTAACATTTTAAATTTAGGTATTTTAAATCCCATCAGCACTGAGCGTCGTGTAGAAGGAGCAGGTCTTGGTGCTGCAGGTTCAAAAGTTTTGCATGGAGCTAATGCGTCACGGAAAGAACGTGCCCATTCAGCGATGTTGAATAGATTTCAAGAGTTGAGTTAAAACTTCCATTTTACTTTTATTGTCTTTTCCTATTTTTTCTCAAAAAACCTTTCTTTTTATTCTAAGGACAATAATACTTATTAAGGTTAGATATGAAAATATAACCTTAATTGTGCTTTCGAAATTCATATTCGTTTTCATGAGATTTTTGGAGGCTTTGTTCATGCAAATTTATTCCATATTTTTACTAGTTTTTTAGTTTCCTTTCCAGTATATTATTTTTTATCATGCACGATTAAATTGTTTTATTAAGATATCAGTCGTTTTGATTTAGAGATTTTATGCTTATTTTTCTTCTTTATACCAGAGTTTTCGATTTTATTCACGATCAGTGTTTTAAAAAATTTTGTTCATTAAAGTTGAGGTTAAGTTTTGCACTGAAAATGTAGTGTCAGAGAATGGGTTCAAAAACAAATGGGTCCGCTTGAGGTTGTGAAAATCGGAAATAGGATTCGAATTAACAAATCAGTTATTAAGTATAAATTATTATAAATCAACGTAGTACAATTAAATGGCAATTTCTAAAATTAAATGCAAGACATAAATCGGTGCGTCTTTTTGTTTAAATGGCAAGAAAGAATCAATAAGTGGTACAAAAAATACAATAAGTGGATGACACCAGAAACAAAAAGACCATTGAAGTAGTTACAAATATCAACTTTTGGATAAAAGTCCATTTCTGCTGGGCTAAAGTTTGTATGGTCACAAATAAGGCAAAGGTAAGGCCGTATGACTTCCAATCAATTTTCAAAGAATTCGTCATCTGGCGAAAAATGCGGTGAAATTAATATAATCTGTGTTCAGATTTATATTCGCTGGAAAATTGCACGAACATATTTCAATTTTATATATGAATGGTGCGTTTAGGAGTGATAAAAAATGCTTTAAGTCTAACAGTTATAATATGAACGAATCAGGGCATTTTATAACTGTTGATTTTGGGGAAAAAATTGTTTGAAATATAACTTTTATATTCTGCAAATAGTAAAATAGTAAAATTGCCAATATAAATATATCTGCAAATATATTTTGCAAATAGTAAAATTGCAAATAGTATAATGACTGAGAGGATTGAGGTTACTGTGAGCAAATTTTTTTCAGCTCTTCCACCATTGTATCGCGAGTTGTTTTAGTTTTCTCTGCATCATATTTACTGACCTCATTTCTTCCAATTCTTCCTATACAATAGTAAAAGACGAAAGAAACCGAAATCATTACTAGAGATAGAAGAATTAATCCCCATTCTGGTTTTATAGCAATAATTGCACCACCCTGAAAGAAACAAAGATATTTATATTCTTAAGATTTGATTTGTGCAGTGGTAAACATTTGAATGAACTTACTAATGCAACAATCTCTAAGAAATAAATCAAATTGGCTAAGACAAGTCGATGAAAATGTGACGCTAGGAAACTGCCGGTAGGGGCACATAGAACTACAACCGGCACACAAACGGCAAAATACTCCCAAGCATCCTGAAAGAAGTCTAATTAGGAGCAGGGAGTAACTCTGTGATTTTTTAAAATTCGTAGGATTCGGTGAAAAAAATTATTTAGTCTTACAGCGGTGAAAAATTTTGCGAAATTTTGCATACCTTGGATATTTCCTGTTGTATAAACTGTCGCCAGAAGAATCCTGCTATACTATTCAGGAACATAAGTACAACAGAAGTTGGTGTTGCAACTTTCTCATTAATACGAAATAAAAGAGTAAGGATTGAGAATGAATAGATATCTATTCCAGATCCGGTGACTGCGGTAAGAATCCCTGGAACAGCGGCCATTTTTCTTTATTTTCTCAATCGAAAATATCTTGGCTAATGCTAAGCCATCGTAGGTGCAGCTTTCTTCCCTAGGTGAGAATAAATCCGCCACTAAAAATGAAATCTGGTTGGTGATGAGGATCCCAGTTTTATTTTTATCGAATGACTAATGAAATGATTCCGCAAGATACAATAGCGATATGCAAGTGGCTAATCTATGGTAATTATTTTATGAAGATTTCTGGCATCGTTTAGCGTCATTCTCGCTTATCATTTACCTCCAAAAAATCCATTAACAACCAATACTGTTGCTTTCAATGGTGAAAAATTCTGAATTCGATCAAAAATAATCCGTTTTTTCTCTGAATTTAAGATGAAAAGAGCAAGCGCGAATGAGAAAAAAATAGATACAAATGCCATTTTCTTTTGCGGCGGTGTTATTCGTTGATCGATCACCTAAAATCAATTGGTAAGATCCTTGGCTGCCATATAGCGAGCAGTTGTTTTGTCCGAGCTCAAGCATCATGTGGCTATTGTCTCTTGATGAGAGTGAATTGTCATTAAAAGTGAAATCTAAGTGGTCCATCGACATTTCATGTCAAATCATGAATGCAAAAAGAAGATGAAAATCATATTTCCTTGCGAATGATTTTAGTGGTTAAATGTTTGTTTTGATAGGGAAGTACAGTTTATTTTAGGTTACCTCTAGACCAACAATTATTCCAAAAATAGCACCCAAACTGGAAAATATTATTGAGTACCATTCAACAACAATTGACATAAAAAAGATTGTAAAAGCTGCAGCAGATAAGCCTAAAATATTCCCGAAAAAATTGAACCTTAACAACTGTAATAATTCTTCTGTTATATCTAAAAATTTTATTTCATTCGATTTTAGGATTTCAAAGCCAACTTAAAGTGCGGAACTTTGAAATTAAGGAAATATGAAAATTTATTGCACAACTTTTTAGGCTAATTTGGGACTTTTAGGTGCAAAATATTACAAATTAAACATTAATAGAAAAAGGACCACAGGACTGTATCATTAAAGAAAAGTCTCGGGCTATAGTAGGGTCAATATGAAGGACAAGTGTCATTGCTGGAAAGGCCACAGCTCCTCCACCTTCAGTTGTCATACCTGAAATAATCAGGTTTACTAAAAATTATTGAAAATCATTTCGTTTTGAAAGGTTAGAAAAACAATCTTCACGAACCTCCGATAAGTCCTCCAAAAATCATGATCAGTGACATTATATATTTTTCACGAAAAAGATATAAGAATTTATAACGATATGCCAATAGCCAATAAATAATTTGAAAAAGCATGAATGGGATAAGAACTCCTGAAAAATTTTATTATGCAATGACCGTTTATCGTTGTTTATTATCAAACATATCCTTCGATATTTTTCGAATTTCTCAGACCATTTTGTAATTTTGCTTATTTTTTTAAATTCGCTTTTTGTTTTCTACATTTAATATGAATCATGAATTTTATATGAAAATTGCTATGCGAAAATATTTGTCCCTCATTAATTCAATTTAATGAGTTTGAAGTGAATGATGAAGCAAATAAAAGTGAAATAACCAAGAAGCCTCCGGTGTTTAGCGAGAAGTCTTTCAATAAACCGTGCATCTTTCAGGTCATGCGACTTTTCTATATGATCCAATTTTTGACCTGAATTGACACTTCTGAAGATTAAGTAGATTGCAAGTACTGATTGCTAATTAATTATAAATGGGAAACAAAATACAACAAACACCGCTACATATGAACGACTTTTAAATGTATTGCATGAATTTCCCAACATTTTAAAAGAAAAAAAGTTTAAAGATAGCATGATAATAATCAAGTTCAGATTTAAGGTTTAAGGCTCTGAATTTACTGCAGAGGAGTAAAACACCTCAGTATTTCTTGGAGACCATCGAAGTTAGGACCACGATGTGAGCGAAACTTGCAATGAGAAATCCATGTAGAGCTGAGCACTTATTTATATTTCCACTTCCAAGTCATTCCTTAGTAAAATTTTACTAACAGGTCCTAATCATAAATCTTAAACGTTAGCCACTTAATTACTTAATTAGTGTATAATTTAGAGAAAATAGCATAAAGAACAGCAAACCTTCTAAGAAATATTTTCGCATAAAAGATGAAAATGTTCGACGAGAGCGTTGAGACGATAAATTCTCTTGGTTATTTTCGCTTGACATGAATTCTATTGACGCGATTTCCTTTCCAGCAAACTGACAATAAAATCAAATTAGCGACAAATGAAAAAGAAGGAAGGATAGTCATATTTATTGGGCTCATCGACCTTTCCAATAGTAACACGTTTTTCATAAGGATGTAGCAGGTTCTTAATGAATGATGAGATTTCTCTACCTTATAATGATTGGCTTAGAATGATAAAGTGGATGAGTGTTCAGCATTGAAGATATTCAAGTTTTTAAGTCATCTGAAACTCGTTTATCGTTCCTACTCTTGCTGCTATTCGCTGCTCTATTAAGGAAAGGCAAGTTAGATGCCATTTGCAGATATCAAAAGCAGTAAATAAAAATTATCGCGAAATGCTATTAGGATATCACAGTTTATGATATAAATGATGGCGATGCACAAATATGAAATATCGCGTTTGGATCACTCCTTAAGGTCATTTTCTTTATGCTTATTCATTTGTCTTCGCGCTGTTGAATTATTCCATCGACCGTTTCCAGCTCCAAGTGGTCCCGAAATTCTTTGGAGCTGATGTGTTTGCGCATTTTTTAGTGATAGGTTTACCCTTCGCTTCACAACATGATAGTCTAAACTTTTTTCTATCCAGTTATCAAAAATTTTATATAGACCTCGACTTATCGCAAAACTATATATATATATATATATCAAAGTTATTTTTAACTAAGAAAACTTCTGCCAATATATTTGGCCGATTATTTTTCGAGAAGACCCTATAAACCCAATATTTTTATATTTGAACCAAATCGCTTGACAGCGCAGCTATAGTTAAAACTATAAAAACTATTAATACAACTATAAAAACTATTTTTTTCCAGAATTTTATGAGTTAATATTCTGATAACATAATGTGTTTACAGTTCAATACAATTATAACATTATTTAATGAATAGAAACATGAAAAATTATTTTTCACATATAAAGATAAAACTCATTTCGAACATTATGCAGCATGAATGTTATATTTTATTAAGCATGAGTTCGATCTGAGTTCCTTGATGCGGCTAAAACTTGCCATTGAAATGTGGATTAATTGATAGAATGAATAAACCATTTGTTTGGTTTCATGAGCAAAATTCTTTATAATAAATTTCAAAATTTTTTTCTCATGTCACTCGCATTTTTTTTGGTTTTTGCATATTTTTTAAAAATGTCTACTGTATTAATCAATAATGCCGACATGTTGCTTTTCAAATGCGACTTTTTTAGATGGGCCAATTTAATGAATGAAAACATTCTTCAAAAAAACCTATCCTCTAACTTTAATCGGTAGAACAATGTAATTTTCTAAATTTCGAAATTTTTTTAAACAGTACTTTTGAATCTTTAAAATTTTTTTTAAAAAATATTCAAAAAACAAAAAACATTTAAAATTCCTCAATTGGAGTCATTTTTATAATTAAAATCTTTATATTATTAATCGCTTTGATTCATATGATTCAAAAAGTGATATAAAGTGGTCTTTACATGCACATATCAACAGGCATATCATTATCGTAGTCAGTGTTGCGTCGCGTCATATCACTTATCACTAAATTACGTAATGAAAATTGAAAACGTTCTAATGATCATCTATTAATTTTATCTATTTTATTTTACCAAATATTGATCCCAGATAGCGCGAATGCTGATAAGATTATTGATTGTATAGTTATCACTTTATTATTATTCCCACCGATTTTTAAGCAGACCGATCTCTCTCACTCCTTTTCGAAAAAATTTATTATTTATGGATTTTTCTCATTTTTCTCATGGATTCTTTAAATCAACAGTTCTTAACATAAAGTCCATGGTCTTCTTGGAGTTCTATGATAGATAGATATTTTTTTAACAGATAGACATTTTTTTTCAGATAGGTTTCAAGAGGTCTTGCGCTTGTATCAGAAATTTCTAAATTTTCATGAATCGCTAAATGAAATTTGTCCTTTAATGTAGATCTTGTGCTACTTTTCCATTTCATTTCTAAATAATTCCATTTTACCCATTTCTTACTTTACATACCTTTCAAAAAAGAGATATGTAGATTTCGAGAGAAGATCCGCCGCACAAAATCATTAAAAATTTCTTCTATTAATATTTCAATTCTTTTAACTTGGCGTTTTTCTCTCGAATTTTAAAATTAAATGATTCAAATATATACATATATAAATCCCCTTTGCATTCCTTGTGGGTGGCATGAGTCACCTTTCCTTGTGGGTGGTATGAGTCACCTTCAACCTAGGGTCCTCTAGTAGAGTTCTGGAAGATCAAAACAAGGCAAATAATCTTTCAGAGGGTCTCTCCCAAGGACCCTCACTGGAAATGCAAAGATGATTTGGTTGCGGTTCGAACCACAGTTGCTACAATCCAAATTAGTCGTCCGCATTAATTATACTGTATTATTCCTGCGTTATCTATACACATTGTAAATATGTAATATCGTATATATTTATTTGTAATCCATATCCGTTATATCCATTTTTTTTACGTTTAAAAGCAAAAAGATAAGATTTATATATTTATATATTTCTTATATGTCGATAAGTAAAACTGTAAAATAGAAAATAGACAAGAAAATTATCGCATTGCCATCTTTTTTTTTCTTGACAAATGAATTTCGGATTGTATATTCATCGTAATCATTTCAATATTTCAGTTTCAATATCAGATAACTTCATAAAAATTTATAAAATCTCAAGTTTATAAAAAAGAAATTTAAAGAAAATTAATTTATGGAAGAATCGAAGGTAACTGTTTTTAAATAATTTGTTTCTTTTTATACTTAAAATCATTTAAAATGACGATGACATTTACACAGTAAAGTAGTAAAGTAAGAAAGCTCAAGTGAAGTATTGACTGAAATTTCGAATTCACAATGTTTCGAATTGATTAAATCATCGATCTACTAAAAAAAGGAATTCAATTGACATTATTTTCCAAAAACATCGAACATTAATGAAATTTTTTAAATCCTTGTCGTTTATTGCGAATTCGGAACAATAGAAAGGAAACCCTAAAGGATTTATTATGTTTTATCGCTTTGATCTTTAATTATAAATTATTTTTTAATTAGAAAATTTCTTCTTTAATTTTGAAAGAAAAAACTGAGTAAATATATTAATATAAATATATTCGCAAAGTAAAATAAAAATTTCTGTTGCTAAGAACTAAGAAGTGAAAGATGCCATATCGCTTTGTGTCATTGGAGACAGTCAAAAGCGAAATAAATACGAATGGAGAATGGTTTCTCCTATATCCGAGTTTCCGGTGAGGGGCTCATCCTCGCAATCGGTGGAGTAAGTAAAGCCTGTTGGCTGTTTTCATTAATCGGCCTTATTTTTACGATATTTATAAATTGAAAAATTGTCGATGCTTTTTTCCATTTTTTTTTTAAAGACTTTTAATCATTAGTAGTTAAATTAGCTCCGCTGGCTTGTCGCATTGGACAAATATGCCTAAGAGTCCCTTGGCGATAAAAATGCAGGTGAGTCGCCAGCTTTACTCGGATTTTTAGGTTCACTCCTGCCGAGAATAGAACCTTAGTATCGGTGCTCCACTAACCCACTAAAGCATCCTATCCCCCCTTTCTTCCATTAGCCATTTAATTATTCTAAAATTATTTTTCGCAGGAAAACAATTCGACAAATTCGAAAAAGCAATTACTGTTTAAACTACTTATTATTGGTGATGTTGGAACAGGAAAAACTTCAATTGTTCGACGATATGTTCACAATCTTTACAATTCACATTATAAAGCCACTGTATACCATTTAACTGCATTTCTTACAATAATTTTTATTTGAATTTTTATTTTATTGTCTAATTTCATAAAAATTATAGAAATTTTCTAAATACTTTATTCTATAATTGTTATATCGGTGGCGCGAGCATATCATTATAGACGAAACTATAACACGGACTTTTACGCGGCGCACGATAGGTAATAAGTAAAATGCAATAATGAAAGAATATAATAATAATATACATGGCCAATGAGAGTGGAGGATATTAAGAAGTTATCTGCCTTTGACCACTCTTGTCTAGGTACATATTACGGGTTCGCTGAGTGGATAAAATCTCACTACATCGCATCCACCTTCGTTCAAATACCACTTGCTTAAATAATGTTGTCACTGAACGCCGCCTTCGCTGGTTAGGGCACATTCTCCATCGTCCACCACACGAGTTGACGCATATTTCGTTATTTGCTAAACCGTGTAACGGTTGGCGTCAAAAGCGAGGTGGGCCAATCAAGACCTGGATCGATATGGTGAGGAAAGATTTTGAACGTATAGGTGGACCAGCAATATTTGGACTTAGACGATGGAAAAAGGAATGGCTTCCATTACTGTCGACGATGGCATCAGACCGCGCCGCTTGGAAGCGTCTTACCCTTGTAGCCATTGGAGCCAGCCTAACAGTAATGGTGAGAGCTGTTAGAAGAAGATGAAGAATAATAATATAATAAATAGAAAATACACTTAGTTCTCAAAATAACATAAGAGAGCCAAATTATACAATAAGAAGATATTAAAAAAGCATAGACCCTGCAATATCCCCTCTTGAGAAAAAAAAGCATATTTGCGATATCACATAAATTGATATTTGCGATTCTGTGGATTCGGATCGATTCTGCTTGGTGGTCTTTCAAATCTCACTGTCATCAGTCAGATATGTTGGAAAAACCGAAATAATAAGCGTTTTCCCATGCTTAAAATCATGAATTAGCCACCTAATCTTCCAATCACCTAAAATGCTTTTTTTTGATTTCCGTACATCTTGTAACTAATTTGTAAAAACCTTATCTTATGTACTCTTCTATACTCTTTGTAGAGATCTTTATGCCTGATTGTAAAAAAATCTCTTTTCCTTATAACGATAAGAAATGATACCAAGGGTTAGTTTTTCATCTTTCGTTTCATTCGTCGGGTCAGTGTTCATCGTTTGCGTTATTCTTGATGTCAATTTTGACACCACTTTCTTCACGAGATAATCTCACAACACTTTTTTTTCTGTTTTTTAATTCGCTATATTAATATTTACCTATTATTTCTTACGTCATTCTATTAAATTGCTATCTGGGCAATAATAAAACCTACAACTAGCTGTATATTCTAAGTCAAATTCGTAAAACCGTCGACGAGTACGCAATTCAAAAATTTTCCATTTCTGAATTAATTGAAACTTTTCAGGACAAGGTATCATTTGCTGGAGGGTTAAAAGTCTAAAAGATTGTTTAAGGTATCCTCACAACGACCAGCTGTTCTGCTGCGAAATTGATTTACATGTCGTATATGGCATCTGCTAACGATCTTAGTCTGTTTAGTATTCTCCCGATCCTCTGAGTTATTTTCGCTGGCTTTGCATTGACAAATTGACCAAGTGTAAAAGAACGATTAATAGCTTCGTTATCAGTGATATCGATTGTATTGTTTTTCCATTCGCTTATTTGAGGGCCCTTTTCTCGATGGTATGCAAAAGATCTAGTGAAATATATATTTTCCCATTACTACTTCTGCTGATGTGATATGATTTGAGAAAATTGCATTTGATCTAATCGAAGACTACTTTTACCTTTGTATAACATCCGATAAATGAGTCAAGAAAGAAACTGTTGTCGAATTTATTCTGGAATTTGTGTTGTCATTTTGTGACACGACACATTTGCTTCAGCAAAATTTTGATGGCTTTCTAAAAACTAAGATTTCAAATTTCTCGTAAACCAAGAAATTTATTTCTTTTATAACATAACATCTGCCATAAACTTTTTTATTATGGAAATTGAAAAAGCATCGGAATATTTGATGTTTTACCGCTTAAGCATTTAATTTCGATAATCACAATAACATAATGCATTTCACCGCAAAACTAATATGGTGTTGTTTCTGCTTTCTGGAAATTTAATGATAAGAAAATTGGCGATTTGGAATTTGCCTATGGTTTCATGATTGATTGCATGAATGATCTCGTTCCCATTTCAATTTTATCATCATGCAATAGGTTAATGTGCCAATTCTTTGATCAAGCTCGATTTTGTGTAGAAACTTAATATGAATAGCAGTTCTCTGGAGAATGGAGTCAGCAAATTAGGATTAATCATTTGAATCGCTAAACTATCAATATATTGAGGTCGAATTATTTGCGCTTTGTTGACTATTATTCCAAAAGTAACGAAGTCTTCGCACTCTTTTTTTCGTAGATTTAAGCACTGGGATCTCTTGTTGAGCAGTGATTTTTGCGGAGTAAACAGTGATTTTAATACTGCTACAGTTTAACTGAAAGATTTCTAGATAGAATTTCTCGTATTTTTCACGTATTCATACGCTGAATCCAATTTGTGGAGCAAAAGGCGAGTCATTGCTTATTCGTCCAGTTTTGTAACGTCTTTTGAAAGTCCGAATAAATACTAAATGTATTGAATGTTTGGTTTTCACTGGGACAAAAATGGAATATCGAGATAATTCCAGTTCTTCCAGCGATGGCTTTAAAGGAAAGTTTTGCTGATACTGTTGATTAACATCAAAAATTCTTTATTACTGTGCCAGCCAGGATCTCTTGCAACGATTCAGAAGATTTTTACGCCACTGTTCGATATTTGTGTGGCGGTCGTTTATTGTGCGAATAAAAGAAGATGGAAAAAAGAATTTTATGGACTAAACGCCAATTTCCTATTCAATTAATTCCCGATTCCCAAACCCGATTAACAAATTATGTGGGTGATGCGATCATAACGTTGTAGACGAAACCGTAACACAAACATTTATGTTATGCACGACAGGTGATAGATAAAAAACGGCAGCACAGTAGCCCAGATAACCCATAATTCCCAAAATAATAACAGCCCAAATTATACAAGAAAATATTAAAAAACACAAATCCTACAATAAGAATTTATTTTTATCATTTGTTATTCGCACTTTAATATTAATATTAATATGTTAATATTAATATGTTTGCAAACATATTGGTATATTGGTTTGCAAAAATGATAAGGATTGATATTTTCAATCATTTTTTTGAGTGATTCTCTTATTCTTTAACTGATAGAGTAGTAAAGGAGAAATTGATCGAGTGGTATGTTGTGCTTCCGCTAGAATCTTCTTTTTCTAACAACTCTCATCAATACTGGTTTAGGGTGGCTCCAACGGCTACAAGGATAAGAAGCTTCCAAGCTGCATGGTCTGATAACATCGTCGACAGTAACAGAAGCCATTTCTTTTCCCATCATCTAAGTCTATATAATGCTGGTCCATCTATACGTTCAAAATCTTTTCTGATCGTATCAGATCGTATCTGATCTCAGTTCAGATCTTGATTGGCCTACCTCGCTTTGACGCCAACCATCACAGGATTTAGCAAGTAACGAAATATGCGTCAATTCCTGTGGTAGGTGACGTGCCTTAACCAGCGAAGACGACGCTCTGTGATGACATTATTAATGCAGGTGGTATTTGAACGAAGGTGGATGCGATCATATGATTCTTAACCGCTCGATGGACGAGTAAAATATACCTTAGACTCCACTAGAATCAAGCCGTATAGATTCGAATTGTACCCAATGACGTGAATAAACTTGTCATTAAAAATTGCGGAGCGATGTCCGCTTACACTTCCACCATATTTCAATTTTCTTTCCATATTGTTTAGCTTTCTTTCAGTCCTTTGTGCAAATTTTATAATGAGAATTTTTTTTAGGTAGGTGTTGATTTCGCGATGAAAATTCTAATATGGGATGCTGATACTTTGTTAAAGTTACAGATTTGGGACATATCAGGTAAAAATTTTCTTTTCCAAGCAACATAATGAATAAAAAGAAAGTGCGATGAATCCTAAACTTAAAACCTCTTCCAAGTTTAAAATTAACCCATTTCATCAACCATTCTTGTCCTGTTTATTAGGAATTTGATAATAATCTTTTCCAAACTACAATTTTTTTGAAATTTCAAGAAATCGAGGCGTTTTTATTTTATTATTTATTTATTTATAAAAAATTCTTTATTATCCTTCCTGTTTCTTTTTGAGCTTTTTTTTCCTTTTTTAATTTATTCCACATACACAACATATTTTATATTCTCTTTTATTCTTATATTCTTCAACTTTTGATTTTTCTGTTATATATTCTCGCTCTTAACTATAAAGGATAGGTACATAAGGACTGTAAATGCGGAAACCTGCTTTAGCGTATATTGCTTAGATTAATGGTCTTAAAACTGATCTTTTTTGCAATCTTCATAAAAATTTCAATGACATTCACTTCAGACGTGCACAGCGAATTATCTCACTTATTTCGGTGGTAATAAAATTTAATGATTATTTTATGATTATACGCAGTCTATTATATTCGATCAAAACTCTCAAGTGCAAAAATTAAATAAAGATTTTAAAATTTGAAAATTGCACAGGAAGTCCATGAATTTTTGTAGGGAATTTGCGGACAAAAAGACTGACATGCATAGGCTTAGATCATTGTGGCACAACTTGCTGTGGTGCATGCAAAATTATTGATGAAATTTTTGTGAAGACTGCAAAAAATATCGAAAATTCAATTTAAACAAAGAGATAAAAAAAGGCAAACATTTTTTTATTGTATTACTACGAATTTCAAACTGAGTTGGCATAATCCGCAACTCAACTATAAAATCTTTATTGCTAAATCTGCTACCATACAGCGATGGGTAATTTAGTAATTTTCAATAGTTACAACTTTACATATTTTATCGCAAAATAAAATTTTATAAAGTGAAAAAATGACGCGAGCCAAAATGATTTCCAACGATTGCTGTGCACTATAATAAAATTCATTTCGTTTAATACTAAATTTTTACTGCAAGCAGCAAAACAAGACAAAATTTTGTCTTTGCAACGGGTCGCTTGCCACTCATTAGATTATTATAGTCGTCGCAAACCGTAGATCAGAATGAACCTTTCACTAAAAGACAAATCTGACGGTGCTGGGATCCACCTGCACTTGATTATCTGACTTTAATTCTAATCGCCAGTCCAGCTATGTGACTATGAGAAATGGGAAGTGATGTAGGAAAAATTTCAAGTAAAAAATATCCCTATTCGAAAATCATATTATATTTTAAGAAATTATTTATTAAAAATGTTAAATGATATAACACAGAAGATGAATTTTCCCATATTAAGGTCAAGATCGTTTTGGTAATATGACAAGAATATATTATAAGGATGCACATGGAGCATTAATCGTATTTGATTCATCACGAAAAGAAACATTTAATGGTGCACTTCGATGGAAAACCGATCTCGATAATAAGATTAATTTAGTAAGTGGGAATTCAATACCAACCGTACTTGCTGCAAGCAAATGTGACTTGGCTTCGACTTCAGTTCTTCATGATCGACAATTAGATGAATATTGTAAAGAACACAAATTTTTGGCCGCTTTCCGAACATCAGCAAAAGAAAATTTCGGTCTAGACGAAGCATTCAAATTCCTCGTTGAAAAAGTTAGCTTCGCTTGGCCTTTGCATTCTTTTTATTTTCACTTGAATTGCGAACGATCCACAAGTATTTCTGGACAAATAGCTCCTGGTTTTATTTTATATAACACTAATTGCCAATGGAGCTACTTAAAGAAATGTTTTACTTATTTTTTTGACTGAAATTACTATTTGCCAGATTGTTGAAACAGAAATGCAAGGACAATATGAAACTCCCTTAATACAACGCGATGGGGATGTTCGAAGATTACGCGACATCCCAGCAACTAATAGCAATAAATTTAATCTGAAATGTTGTTGATCTATAAAATGACTTTAATCTTGAATTACTATTTCGCTTAATTGGTGACTAAATTTTTAATTTTATCCACTAATATTAGGCAAAATTTACAATATTTATTTTATTCATATTTGATAATTTAAACCACAAATCCTCAACAGCACGGGTATAATTTCCAATTTTCATTAGATTGCGCTAGCGGTTGGCAATTTTTGACTGATCATTTGCGAAATTATAATTATTATAGCCAGCTATGTGACTATGAGAAATGGGAAGTGATGTAGGAAAAATCGTTTACTAAGAAGTTCTGGGTCGTATTTTGCAAGGAATACGGAAAATTAGGAAGATGAGTTTTATTAAATATTTTTTTACATCCCTAAAATGTTTCAAAATATCGCAAATGAAAATCAAAGGCAGTGAACAAGTGGGAAATATGGATTTAAATGGGTACGCGATAATTATAATTATGCTTCCGTATTTTATTTGTGATTATATGATAATTGATAATTGGGGGTAAGAATGTCGGGAACAACTGGATTAGCGAATAGCTTTAATCACTTTATTGTCCAAGCCCATTTGAGGTAGATGGCAGTATTTAAGAGTATGTTAGGATTATTGGTTCCATTTTTATCTATTTTATCTATTTTTATCCAGAGTAGTTCTGTGCTTTTGTCTGTTACTGCTGTTATCTATTACTGTTTTTATTTTTCAATAAACTTTCTTCACCAAATTGTTTTAAACTAAATGAATGCAATAAGCTTTTTTGCTTTTGCTTAATTTATATGAGAATTTGCAATCAACTGATAACTTTTGTTTTGCGAAATTTTGAGAAATCGCGCTTATAAGCCTTGATTTATTTGGATTTGGATAAAATATGTACCTTTTCGTCTTTTGAGCTTTTGACCTCCTTGAATGATTCGTTTTGTTAATTTCGCACCGATTGTATTTAATTATAATTGGACATTGTTGTGTTTCTTCGTTCTGTTTGTTTTTATTTTCCTAAGAAATTTTTTTTTCCAGTTAATATTCATTAGAAGATATTACTTGTAGGCCTCACCTGATTTTTTACATATCTTCTACAAATCTTCTAACCTCCTTTTAACAAATTTTTATAAGAAATTTTTATAAGAATGTTAACAACTGCCGTATTAGCAAATAATGGCAGTAACATCAATTAAGTAAGAAAATTAAAGTTGAGCAAAAACTAATGGATAGTTCTTAGAATTTACTTTCAGCCTCTTCCTATTATTGTTTCCTACTTCGTTGTTAGAAGATCAGAAGGTTCATTACCAAGATAGAATCATTGTAATGAAGTAAAAATATATGCTGCGAACCTAATTTTGACCTTATTGTTATATAACAGATGATAAGTATTTGATGGATGCAATACATTCAAAAGTGATCTGCTAACGATACTTAAAAAGCTAAATAAATTTTAGTATTTTAAAGAGATCGTATAATTCAGTTGTG